AGGGCACAGATGGAGAAGAGGAAGGTGCTGATGGGGTCAGCTGCCTTGTACTGAGGCTGTCGAGGAAGAGACCCCCTAAGCCCAGGAGCCAGGGACCTTTAAGAGGCAAATCCAGGGGCCTCTGGAGTAAATCCGACCCTGAGAAGCCCAGCTGAGAGGCTGCTTGCAGGGCTAAGGGGGTGTGACCAGGGCTGGGAGTCTGGGGAGCTGGAGGGGGACTGAGCCCTTTGGGATGAGCCCTGCTTGCCCAGCAGTACCTTGAAGTAGATGAGGATGGAGGCCGCCAGGACCCCGAGGCTCTGCAGGAGGTCCCCCAGCACGTGCACAAAGGCTGCCCGGACGCTGGTGTTCCCCAGGGGCAGGGGCTCCCCGGGCCCCTCCTCCAGTGGCGCATATTCAGACCCCCTAGACCCGTGGCTGTGGGGGGGCCCCGCCTGGTGCAGCACAAAGGCCATCCTGAGGGGCAAGCAGAGGAGCTGAGCCCGGGAAGGTCACTGGCCCACCGACCCGCCTCCTCCCACCCCCCAGGAGCCCTCCCACAGGCTTGTCTGAGAGCCACGAAGAAGGTGTTCCAGGGCAGGGACCAACTGGACTTGGTGCCAGGAGCCCTGGGTTCAGGTCCTGGCCCTGCTACTAAACAGCTAGGTGACCTAGCCAAGTCAACTAGTCACCTCTCAGGTGCTTAACTGATCCAGTTGTCCCTGAGCTTTAGCTCTCTATCCCAGACCCAGAGCAGTGCAGTTGAGGACTGTGTGAAGTGGGGTGGTGTGTGTGTCAGGGCCTGGGGGAGCCAGTCCCCCATCCTGGTGCAGGGCCCCTCCCCTTGGGCCCCATGCGGGGCCCGCTGCCCCTGGCACGCACAGCAGATTGGCACAGACGGCGATGCTGGCGGTCAGCAGCATGGCACCCCCCTCGATGTGGTAGTCGCTGTGCAGCAGGCGGATGAAGGCCAGGTACAGGAGGATGCCTGTGACCACCCATAGGGAGACCACAGAGGCCAGCGCCCCCAGCGTCTCTGTGGGGTGGGGGTGGGGGCAGAGACAAGCTGTCAGAGGCCAGCAGGGTCCCCCACCCCAGCAAACCCTTGGGCAAGACTCAAGGGCCCGCCAGGCCAGGCAGGGACCTTACCTGAGCGGTGCCAGCCAAAGGTCATAGTGCGAGTGGCTGGACGGGTGGAGAGCCAAAGGGAGAAGAGGCTGGCCATCATGCTGCCCACGTCCGCCAGCAGGTGGGCTGCGTCGGTCATAATGGCCAGGCTGTGCGCCAGATACCCACCTGCAAGGTGCTTCCATTTAAAAACTATAAAGCTGTGTGTGCGTGGGTGTGGGTGTATAACACAGACGGGGAAGACACACACTAGAGTGTGAGCTTTGGTTTTCTCCCATGACGGGCTCACGGGGCATTTGTATGACCTGTTTTTCTCTCATCCATACGCTTCTAGCTCTGTCCCTCATCCCCTCTCCAGTCCTGAGTCCTGGGGCCCCTTCAGAGCACTCATCGCCCCCCTCCCGGCCATCCTGGCCATCTCTGCCAGGGAGCCTCCCTGGGAGCCTGTGTGGAGAGTGGCTTAGGCTGGTGGGGGGAGGGGGCTGAAGGAGCTGCTCTCCCACTTACCGACCACCTCTCCAGCCATGAAGAGGCAGCACACGGCGCAGGCGGCACACAGCTGCCTGCGGGCCTGCAGTCTCTCGGGGGTCAGCCCCTGCTGCGGGGTGGGCTCCCTGTGGCAGTGGTGAAGACACATCTCCACAGGTTTGGGCTCCTCAGGAGGGGCCTCTGGGGGTGCTGTGAAGAGACTGGGACAAGCAAGACAGTTCAACCTGCACTCTGGCCGGGGTCTGACTAGGTTCTCACACCCAGCTCCTCACTGCCCCGGGCTGCCCTCATGAGCCAGGGCCCACCTTTCACTCTTTCTGCAGGCCTGCTGACACCTGAGAGAACCAATGGTAAGGGGAGGGCTAAGTGAGCACCTTAGGCCTGACCCCCAATCCCCCATTCCTTACACAAGCAAGCGTGCACGTGCGCACGTATCTGTAGACCTGCACAGCTGGGAATCATCTTAGAGGCGGGCTAGGCCAACACCTGATTAAATAAACTACAAGTGTGAGGCTTACGGAGGCTAGTTAGTGGCAGCGACGAGGTGAGGACCCAATCAGATGGACTGATTGTGACAGGCATGACAAGGGCTACAGAATGAGCGTGACCTTCTTCCTCATCTCCAGGCTTTTGAGGGGAGCAAGCTGCGTGCCTCAGGAGCTGTGATACGCAGCCAAACATCGGTGGCCATTGCCGTTACAGCAATGATAGCAGGTGCAGGCAGCTAAGGCCCAGATAGAGGACTAGACTATGGCTGCAAAATGGGGGACACGGTCGAGGGAGGTGGGCCTGGAAAGATTTGGGTTAAAATGAGGAAACCTGTCAAGGACCATGAAGGGAAGGTGGTGTGAGGGTGTGGAGGCAGGACGCAGCACATCGTGCCTGCCTGAGGACAGCCTCCCTCCCAAGCCCACCTCCCAGGGCCACTCCCAGCCTGAGGGCCTTCTCTGGACATGGCAGCTGGCAGCTGGTCCTATGTATGTGGCACTTTAAGAGGGGTGGAATGTTGGGACCCCAAAAGTCTGAAGTTCCTGGCACAGAGAACTGGGGCTAGATTGCAGAACTGGTGTTGTCATGTGGAGGGGTCAGCCTGCTGTGTTTGGGGTGGTAGTGGTAGGAGAAGTGGACTTGGGGTTGGCCACGTGACAATCACTCCTAGGAGAGGCCACCATAACTGTGCTGGGTTGGCGCCTCCCTTGCTGAATGAACGGTGGAGCCTCGTGGAGGAGGTCAGAGACCCAGCTAAGGATGACTTGGGTTTTTGATCCATTTGGATCCAATTCTCATCCCCAGGCTACCCAGCCTGAACCCCAACAAGGACAGATCTTGCACAGAATAAAGGACCCCCCCAAATAAAAAAAGTGATCCTAGAAATCCTTAGTCAGCTGTGACAAGAATACCAATGAGAGGGAGATGAGGAAAGGCGGTCGGAGCCGTAAGTCGGAGAGGGGTGTCTGGGGCCTTGAGACCAAAGAAAGCTCTGTCAAGCGCGTGAACTGAGGACTTTGGGGCGGGGTGGGGGCGGGGCAGCCTCATTCATTCCTTGATGAGGTGTGCCTGTCAGTGGACGTGCATGAAGCCCGATCTAATGGGAGAGACAGACAGACGCGGAGGAACAAGTGACACATAAGCCGTGCGACAGCGGAGAGGAACAAAGGGCTTGGGGGGCAGGAGAGTGGGGGTCCAACCCTACTGAGGTGAAGCGGATGTCACAGGAGATGTCTAAGGACAGCCGACCTAGAGGGATGCCGCAGGGTTCTCCAGACAGAGGGAGGATGATGACAAAGGATCGGGGTGCAGAGTGTAAACGTGAGGGGTGCAGAGGTAAGGACAGCACAGGAAGACAGGGCCTTGGATTTGACAGATCATTGCCTAGCCCTGAGATGACCACGCCCATGACTAATGGAGGACTCAGGGAGATGAATTCAGGGGCTGTGAGGGGCTAGGCCAGCGGCTCCCTGCACAGCAGGTCGGTCGGTCGGGAGAATCCCTTTCAGAAAATGCTGCGGCACTCGGTGAAGAATGGTCATCAGAATGGGGATGAGCTAGCCGCCTGAAGAGCACACTCCCTGGTGGTCCCCGGGAGGAGGGCAAGATGCTGTCCCCCGTCCTGAATCTCAGTCAACCATCAACAGGCTGCTCCCTTTTGTTCCGCAGGAAATGGGCACGAAAGCTCGGCCTCCGGGGAGCTGGGGACCCTACATCCTGGCCCTCTGAACCCCCAAACGAATAACAAATCATCCCGAATGGGCTGCGGGGAAGATCTAGGACGAGGGAGAAAGATCAGAAAGCATCACACGGATGTCTGAAGAGATGCCAGGGCTGGGGCCCCAGCATCGCCCACGTCTGCAGTCCCCTGCGGGAAGAAGCCAGACGGGATGTCTTTCCTCCCTCTGCTCATCCGGTCCTCACTCACCCCGGGTCTAGGTCCCCACCCTGGGAAACAGGAGAAACACAGAGACCCACGTCAGAGACAAAGGGAGAGAAAAAGAAGCATTGGAAGGGGTGGGGAGGGGGGGCACACACGCACCACACACCACTGGAGAACCTGTCACATCCCGGAGACAAGCGGACGCTGGGCCGACAGACAAAATGACTAGCGGGAGTGCGCGGAGGCCGGCCGAGCGGGGGCGGTTCCC